TGTAGAAAAAGATGTAGAATTTTCATCACAACTAGTAACCCGAAGTGCTTCAAATTGGGGTGTAAAACCTATGAATTTTACATTAGCGTGTCATTGGAGGGATGTTGTTCATTTTTGGCAACTTTGAACTACATCTGATCTTATTTTTAGAAGCAGTAAAAATCCGATATTTGGATGTCAAAAATAAAACACATTCTCTTAATGATACGCTTATGTACCCAGCAAAAAAAGTGTGGAAAAAGATGTAGAATTTTCATCACAACTAGTAACCCGAAGTGATTCAAATTCAGGTGAAAAACCTATGAATTTTACATTAGCGTGTCATTGGAGGGATGTTGTTCATTTTTGACAACTTTGAACTACATCTAATCTTGTCTTTAGAAGCTGTAAAAATCCGATATTTGTATGTCAAAAAGAAACCACATTCTTTCAATGAAACGCTTATGTAAATTTCATTGGTTTTTCATCAAAATTTGAAGTACTTCGAATATGTTGTTTGTAGTGACTTTTCTACAACTCTTTTATCATTTTTAACTGTTTTTTAATTTGTAAGTATATGTTTGGTTTATAAAAGCGAAAAGTATGCAATCGCATTTTTAGATGTGATTAAGATGTCGTTTGTAAAGTATGACATCAATTATTTTTTGCTGGGTAAATTTCACTACTCTTTCACCAAATCTTGATGTACTTCAAATATGTTATTTGTAATGACTTTTCGACATCTCTTTCCTCACTTTTAACTGGGGTTTCATTTGTAAGGAAATATTTGGTTTATAAAAGTGAAAAATATGTGATCGCATTTTAAGATGTGATTAAGATGTAGTTTGTAAAGTATCCCAGCAAAAAATAATTGATGTCATACTTTACAAACGACATCTTAATCACATCTAAAAATGCGATTGCATATTTTTAGCTTCTAAAAACCAAATATTTCCTTACAAATAAAAACCGAGTTAAAAGTGAGGAAAGAGATGTTGAAAAGTCACTACAAATAACATATTTGAAGTACATCAAATTTTGGTGAAAAACCAATGAAATTTACATAAGCGTGTCATTGAAAGAATGTGTTTTATTTTTGACATCCAAATATCGGATTTTTACTGCATCTATGAATAAGATTAGATGTAGTTCAAAGTTGTCAAAAATGAACAACATCCCTCCAATGACACGCTAATGTAAAATTCATAGGTTTTTCACCAAAATTGGAAGTACTTCAAGTATGTTATTTGTGGTGAAAATTCTACTTCTTTTTCCTCACTTTTTTTGCTGGGATGACATCAATTATTTTTTGCTGGGAGATAACGACAATCCACCGATTTTTGGGCCAAATTTCGAGCAATATTTCGCTATTTTGCAATTCGACCCGTTTTTGGTGGTTAGTAAGGGGCTTAAATATCAAAGTATGTTTATGGACTTGAAATAAGCTATAAATAAGTTAAATTTAACACAAAAAGTTCACAAAATCTAAAAAAAAAATAAAATTCAGTTGGAATTGTAGGTAGTTTACCGTAAAGTAAGTTTAGATAAAATGCACTCTATTATATAAAAACATCAGAAAGAATATTCTTTGTAATATTTTTTAAAAAAATAAACGTATTAGATTTTAGAAAAGGTAATTAAATATAAACAAATTTTATTTTCCTCATTTAAAAATATTCTGTTTTATTTTTCTATATACTAGTATTAATTCCCAAAACAGTACTATACCTAAATTTAAAATTAATTTTCGAAATTTTTACAATTCTTGAAATTTTAGTTTTAAATTCAACTTATTTTACCTTTCCATCAAGATACTTTAATATTTAAGCACCTTTTTAACCACCAAGAACGGGTTGATTTGCCAAAATGTGAAATATTGCTCAAAATCTGGGTCTAAAATCGGTGGATTATCGTTATCTGTAAGCGGATCCAAAACTTCTTCGGGTCGAAATCTTTTCAAGAACTAATTCTTAAAATAATTTAAAAATGTTAAGCAATGTCTTTCACTGTTTTAACTTTTTATTTAAGAAAATTTTAAAGTCGTGGCTCCAATTCAGGCGTCAGACCAGGCGTTGAAAAAAGCTCCCGTTAACATAAAGAACAGAGGCAACAGTATATTTTGATATTGGAAATATCAATTACAATTAAAATTTTTAAAATAAGTACAAAAAGGTCGTTTAAGAAATTTTAGCTTATGTCTCCACTAATACTATGAATAGTTTCTATTATTTTTTCCAATGCTAAATATTTTAAATACCAAAAAAATACGATGGAGCAAAAAAAGTTGTAAAGTCTGTATATCGTAAGAAAGTAGAGTTAAATACCTCTTACTTAAGATACAAAACATAAAATTCAAAGGAATTTTTCAGAAAAATTATTATCTAGCGCAAAATAAGGTCGTATTATGAGAATATACCCAGCAAAAAAAGTGTGGAAAAAGATGTAGAATTTTCATCACAACTAGTAACCCGAAGTGCTTCAAATTCAGGTGAAAAACCTATGAATTTTACATTAGCGTGTCATTGGAGGGATGTTGTTCATTTTTGACAACTTTGAACTACATCTAATCTTATCTTTAGAAGCGGTAAAAATCCGATATTTGTATGTCAAAAATAAACCACATTCTTTCAATGAAACGCTTATGTAAATTTCATCAAAATTTGAAGTACTTAGAATATGTTGTTTGTAGTGACTTTTCTACAGCTCTTTTCTCATTTTTAACTGTGTTTTAATTTGTAAGGATATGTTTGGTTTATAAAAGCGAAAAGTATGCAATCGCATTTTTAGATGTGATTAAGATGTCGTTTGTAAAGTATGACATCAATTATTTATATATATATATATATATATATATATATATATATATATATATATATTCAAATATTCAAAAAAACTATTTCAAAACCTGATTTTATCATTCGTAAATATAATATTCAATGCCCTTAAAAAAATACTGTTAAAATTTTTAATTTATTGTAATCCGTTTAGGAGTTATGATGGTTATTATGTTGGCTTGTCGTTTAATAATTTCCCATCGAACAATGGTATTTTTCATCATCATCTCCGAATTTAATAAAACTCCATCCAATTAATGTTACATATATAACTTGTATAATGACAAATTTTGGGCCTTAAAACTTTCGTGGTTTTCGAAATATAGAGTTGTAAAATTTAAAATCTGAACATTTAAAGTCTCATCACATCAAAAGGAATAATGATAAAATTCTTGTTTTTGCACCATTTGTCTCAGCAAAAAGCATACTTTGATTATGTGCAAAGAAAAAAAAATTGAAATATTTTTTGGAAAAATTGCATCTCTGGATAACACTAAATGCACTTTTGAAGCATTATAAAAGTGTGAAATTAAGCTCATTCTTATTGATTTTTCCTATAAAATCAATTATTAGAGCATAATTATCTATAAATTCTGCAGTTTCTGCTCTGTATACGATTTAACAGAATGATATTCCCAATATCAAAATATACTTTTTCCTAGGTTCTTTATGTTAACCTGTGTTATTTTCAACGCCCGGTTGACCATATCTCTGACGGCTGAATTGGAGTCACGACTTTCAAATTTTTTTTAAATAAAAAGTTAAAACAGATTTCGAGCCGAAGAAGTTTTGAATCCGCTTGCAGATAACAATAATCCAGATTTTTAGCCCAGATTTTGAGCAATATTTCACATTTTGGCAACTCAACCCGTTCTTGGTGGTTAAAAAGTGGCTTAAATATCAAAGTATCTTGATGGACAGGTAAAATAAGTTGAATTTAAGACTAAAATTTCAAGAAATGTAACAATTTCGAAAATTAATTTTAAATTTAGGTATAGAACTGTTTGGGAATCAATACTAGTATATAGACCCAATACGATATATTGCAAAAAATAAAACAGAATATTTTTAAATGAGGAAAATAAAATATGTTTTTTTTTATTTTCCTCATTTAGATTGTCGTTATAAGTGGCTTCAAAACTTTTTCTTCTCGAAATCTCAAAAACTAATTTTTTAGATAATTTAACCATTAGAAGTCATTTCCTTCACTATCTCAACTTTTTATTTAAGAAAACTTGAAAGTCGGCCCTCTGAATCAGCTGTCAGGATCCATATGGTCAATCAAGATTCGAAAAAACAAATGTTCACATAAAAATTAAGGTAAAAAGAATACTTTTATATTAAGAGTTTAATTAATAATTAAAATTTTTTAAAATAAATACAAAACGCAGTTTAAGAAATCAAAGCTTGTGTCCCCAGTGTAATACTGTGCATCGTTTCTATTATTTTTTCCAATGCCAAATTTTTTAAATACCAATAAATGGCGACGGAGCAAAAAAAACTTAAAAACTCCATATATCATAGCAAATAAGACTTAAATACCTTTTATTTAAGATACAAATCATCAAATTCTAACGGGTAGTTTTCGAGAAAATTTAGTTTTCACCACAAAATAAAGTCGTTTCTATTATTTTTTCCACCACTGTATATTTTTTTAATTAAAGAAAAATTACCAATTACTAAACGTGAGCAAATGAAACAAAAGAGCGAAATGTAGTGAACTGTGTGCCGCTCACTAAAATGAATCGTTGAATTGAACTAGGTCATTCATGACCAACACAACTCTACTCTACAACTCTAGCAAATGAAACAAAAGAGCGAAATGTACTGAACTGTGTACCGCTTACTAAAATGAATCGTTGAATTGAACTAGGTTACTCATGACCGACACAACTCTACCAAGGATATATTTGATTATCAGTTAATAGTCCCAGTAGACTACAGATACTTGTACCACCTCTTTTCCCCGGAATTCAATCACACTAATACGGTATCTTTCATCCAGGTAACATGCCCCCGGGAGGAAGGGGGCATGTTACCTTTATAGTAATCTCTATATATGTAAATCTATTATAGCTATACCTAAATAAAAGCGTTGAGTCCCATACAAATTTTATGAAAACAATAATAATCTACAAGTAACGCAACGGTCAATACTTTTATTTAGGTATGGCCGTTACTACTTACTTCTTTTTTGAACTGAATGTAGAGACAGGATCACCAAGTTTTCGCTTCTTATTATCTTTACAACAGGGTGTTGTATTATAATCCTCATTTTCTTTGTGTATATTTTTATTTACTTTGGGGATATGTGAATTCTCATTAGGGGTACAGTCTAAATATTCCGAACTTCCCATTGCCGATCCAACTATTCTCCTCAGGCCGTTAAACATTTCTATAAATTATGTAAAAAGAAAATATTATGTTTAATTAAACGTTTTCGAATAAAACACAATTACGGGTTAGCGAACCACTGCGTCTTTTTTTCTTTTTTTTAGCTGATGTTGACTTCAAGCCGGTTTCACTTCTTAAATTTTCTACTGCATCAGGAACTGATTGATCTGATGAAGTTTTCTCCGAAACCGTAGATTCCTGTAGCTTATTTTCAATATTTTTTGGTATAGTCCCAATAGCATTAGCATTTTCTATCAGAATTTGAACAATTTTAACATGATTTTTAAAACGATGACTGTTAATGTTTGGAAATGGCATAAGACTTGGAGTAAAAATAATGGCTAAATTTTCAACCGACATTTTATTGAGATGTTCGCTAAGTGACACGGTGTATAGAAATTGCATGAAGAATGATAGTGTGTTTATTGTTAGTGGCGGTAACAGCAAACATGCTAACAGTATGGCTTTCACGTAATTATCTCCTACTAGCAAACTTCGAAGAAGGGTTTCTTGTATAGACTTAGGAATAACTGGTTCCGGAAGTTCGCGAAAAAAATATTTGATAACATTTGCAACATCTATTACATGATGAGATTTACCCAAGTCTACTCCCGATTCAAGGCTGACCTGTAAATTTAATGATAACTTTACTTGTCAAAAAATAACTAGTAAAATATTTCAATTACCCGAATTTGCTTCTGTCGTACGAAAGATCCAGCTTTTCTAAATATGCCTTCCGTTTCTACTTGTTCTAGTATTCGATTACATGCCTCTGCGACAAATGATGGTATTTGAACAACTCTTCCATTTGCAAGAATAACATCAGTTAAGTCCAAAAGATGCAAATGCGTACGAAATATGTTTTTTCGTTGGGTTTTATTCTTAAATTGAATAGGTATTTTTAATTTGTAGAAACAGTAATTTAATACATATAAATAATTGTACCTGAATATCCTTTTTCTTCTTTTCCTTTTGATATTTCACTCCGAATGTCTTAAGTTCACTTATAATAATTGCGGAAAATTCATCTTTATTCCTAATATCACTTATATTCATTTTTAAATATTTCTATAATACAAAATTATTTTTTTCCGCCAAAGTCAAATATCTCAACGACGCACCAGAGACCTACGACGATCAAAATTAACAACGACGGCGTCTAAAACCAAAGAAAGCCAGCTAAAATCGGAAGTTACACGATCAGATCAAGATCAAGGCGAATTCAGATAAGGTGGTGGCAGTTCGGCAACAACAAAACTTTCCATGGAATATGTTTTTGCATTTGGTACGCACTAGGGTGATCAATTATTCGACATTTTCCAAAAACCGGTTTTCGAATAGTTCGAATAGTTCGAATAGTTGGCATTCAGAAAAAACCGGTTAACCGGTTCTTATTATTAATAACAAAATCCATTTTATTTTGAAAAAATTAACGTTTATGTTTAAATTTGATGACCCGAAGTGACTTTTAATGGTTTAAAAGATTATAAATTTAGATATAGTCATCTGATTCACATTATTTCTTTAATGTAAAAAATTGGAAATTAGTGGGACACCTCTGTTAAATATAAACAACTATGTAATCCTAGCTTAAATCCCAGTTTAGACAATTTTCATAGGCATTCCAACACATCAATAATAGTGTAGCCGCCAAGTAATTATTGTAATTGGAATATAATCTTAAGATTTATAAAATTTTATTAAATAGTTATTCCAATAAATTTTAAAAATAAAATTTGTTAATTAATTATGAAAATCAAAAAAGTTTAACCAAAGATGCGTTAGAAAAATATACTCTAGTTCCTGAACTCCAATATTTTTAAAATTTAAAATATTCCAAACCGGTTTTTAAAAAGTAAAAATAACCGGGTTATTCGATATTCGAAAAATCGACATTTAAAAAAACCGACACTGGAAAAGCAGAAAAACCGGTTTTTAAACCGGTTGAAAAGCCGAGTCGATAACCCTAGTACGCACTGATCAAGGCAAGGCGAATTCAGATAAGGTGGTGGCAGTTCTGCAACAACAACATTTTACATGTATTTTGTTTTTGCATTTGGTTTACGTAGATATCAAAAACCATAAGTACGGCGAATTCATTAAATAAAAAATTTTTGTAAAATTTTTATATTTTATTAAAAATAAAGATATTAAAATTTGTGAAGAAAATATATTCTGAATTGAATAATGTTTGTTTCAAACAAAAAATTCTATTCCGGCAGATTAATTTGCAAAATTTAAGTGAGTGCCTAAAGTTAAGTAAAACTTAATTTTTTGTGAAAAATAAACATAAAAAAGTACATATTCACGAAAAAATATATATAACGAACGAATGAATCTTTATTGCGAATGGATAATTCTACTCCGGCGGAGTAATTTTCAATATTTGGCCATAATGTAGCAGACGCCGGCCGGGTAAATACCTCATATGGGTTTTGTTATATAAAGCGTTCCGGAAGGGACTTTTTTAGTTAATCGCTTTATCTACATATAGTTTAATTTGTTAACATTTAATAGATTTCAAAATTAAGCCATATGTAAAAGTAAGCTGCCGTTGTTCGGCTAAATTCTTCATATGTGTTTCTTTATATAAAGTGTTCCGGAAAAATTTTTTTAGTTAATCACCTTATCTACACAATGTTAATATAAAATATAAAACAATATTGTTTAATATGTTAACATTTAATAGAAAAAATATTTTTCCTAAATAACATATTTGTATACATACCAATTATGCGATTATTTAAATAAACTGATATTTGTTTACGAGATGCTTGGTATTTTTAGATTTTTTACATAAATAATTCAAAATATTAACGAAGTTTTTCTCCGTTTAACGGAAATTTTTAAATATAAAAATGTAAACAATAACAAACTTTGACAGCTACGTAAACCAGGCGAATTAAGAAAAAAATTATCAGCTGATTGAATAACACCACCATATCTGAATTCGCCTTGGATCAAGGTATATTAATTTTATAAGGTAGTGTCATCGGCGAATTCAGAATATCGAGCGAATTGGTTATATTTTATTACATATGTTGTTTGACATTGTGCCTGCACTTGAAGGCGAATTGCCTGTCAGGGAAAAATTTCAAAAACAGCTGACAAATAAATCAAAGCGAATTTTTGTTGAACAAAAAATTTTTATAAATTGGAGTCTGTTTGTTAAATAATATAATAATAATTTTATTTTAATAATACCAATAATACTACACGAAATTAGTTTCATTTTTAAAAACGTCTAATTAAATGTTTTTAAAAATAAAACTAATTTCGTGTAGTATTATTATTGGTATTATTTAAATAACGTTTTTAGAAGGCCTTGAAAGCAAACAAACAGAGCAAAATGCTTCAGCAAAAATTCTACAAATGAACTGCTACCAATTATTGTCATTTATATAAAATTATTAATATCAAATGGATATTTGACATTAACAAAATGAAAACAAAGTTTGACATTTACAAAATGTAAACAAAGTTTGACATTTATTCTACACCACGGCGAAAAATGAACATAGTAGCAATAAACGATCGGCTGTTCTGATAACACTACCTTATAATTAATATATCTTGGCACTGATATGAAAAACAATAATTGCGGCGAATTCATTTATTGAAGTATGTAGTGGAAATTGTATACAGACTTTGGATATTATCTGCATTGTCATATCCTAGTTGGAAAATGGAATTAAAAAAAATCTTCCTATCATATATAATATAAAAAGTTTCGGTATAATACTGTATAATTCTATGGTAAGTATACAAATTATTTCCAGGCTGTTATTATCCTCTTTCATTCGATACCCATATTGACCTACTAGACCAAACCAAATTTTAGCTAAATATAATTATACTTACTCTTCCTTTCAAACTTTAAAGTCCTTTTAAATGAAGAAACGATCAGAAAAGACAAAAAATGTAGTATAACTGTATTAAGTATGAAATTTTTATATTTTATAAAAAATACACATAAAAATACATAAATTTGTGAACATAATATACCCTGAGTGGAATAATGTTTGTTCCAAATGAAAAAGATTTTTGCCCAAAATTGTGTAAAATTAATATTTTTGTGAAAAATAAACATAAAAATGTAAAACTTTATGGAAAAAGTATATACCGAATGAAAGAATCTTTGTTGTGAATGGAAAATTCTACTCCGGCGGAGTAATTTTTAAGATTTACACGTTGTAGTCAGCTGCCGCCGGACGGATAAATACCCCTACAAGAACAGTGCCAGTCATTTAACCGGTGATGAAAATATCCAACAAAAGTTTCTAACTGTACCCCGTTTCTGTAATTCTCGCATCGAGAAAATCTGTCGAAAATTTTATGATCATCTTGTGTAAAACAGGGTGAATATAAGAAATTTAAAAATAATCAGAGTCACACTGTTAACAACTGGAAGACTATTATATATTAAATTTTTTCTCGATTCGAGAAAATTACCCTCGCACTTATGAATTCTATCGACTTTAAAACATATATTTGAACTGCTCACTCTTTTGTTGTTTACTAATCAAGGATGATGGAAATGTTAGTCAAAATAAGTTGTCTCACTCTTTCATAGCAAATGAAATCCTTTACCACACATTGAGTACATCAACATTAATTTTTTCCGGTCATTTGACTGTCATTATTGATGGAATTATCTGTTAACTATTTTTTTTTAGCAATTTTTAAAGAAAAATGTTGGACGTGTGCTACTAAAATCATTTTGTATGTGTTAGTTTCGGTCATACATTTCTTGTAGGGACCTCATATCGGTTTTGTTATAAAATGCTTTCCGGAACAGAATATGGTTAGATAATCACATTATATAAACAGTGTAAACATAAAACAATTTATTATTTAGATCTCAAAATTTAACCACAATTTAGAAGACAGCTGCCGCCGGTAGGGTAAATACCTCATGTAGGTTTTTTATATAAAGTGTTTCGGAAGAGAATTTTTTTAGTTAATCGCGTTATCTACAAAGTGTAAATATAAAACAATATTGTTTAATTTGTTAACATTTAATAGAAAAAATATTATTGTTATAATTATTATATAATAAAAATATTCGTTTATAAAATGCTTGGTATTTTCAGATTTTTTACATCAATTATTTAAAGTACTAACGAAGTTTTTTTCTGTTTTAACGGAAATTTATAAATATAAAAATGTAAAGGTGGAAATACACAACACGCGTTGAGGCGGCAATGCGTTTCATGCTTTTCAAACTTTTCACGCCTTATAAGCTGTAAGTTACGCACAACGCGTCATTTCTTTATATTTTTTAATGTTTTTTGAGACAATTACTGTTTTAAAAATCATAATTTTAAGTTTTTATATATTTTTTAATATTTTTATTCCATTGCACTATAGTTCAAATTACCAGTTTTCCTGTGCGAAATTCAAATTTTGGAACAGTGAATAAAATTTATTTTTTGATATTATCCTATTACCAATACACCATTATGTTCAAATTTGCAATAAATTTTTGCGAAATGCTAAACACTGTTCTACTGCACGCACATAACTCATTACTTAATTAAGATATCCATATCCGATCGGTCCTTAATTGGTCATAGCTCCCATACAAGGTCCCCTCCCGAAAATCAATTAAACGCGCATAACACTTCAGAAAACACTTAAAGGCACACAACTCATTACCAAAAAGTGATATCCATAAAAATCACTTTTCATATTTGGTCATAGCTCCAATACAAGTTTCCCTTCTGAAAATCACTTAAATGCACATAACTCATTACTAAATATTGATATCGATACATTTAGCACAAATATTGCTCTTATGTACATAAATCACACTATAAAATTTTTTCACGATCGGTCAATATTTGGTCATAGTTCCCATACAAGGTCCCCTCCAGAAAATCACTTGAATGCACAATATTCATTACCAAATAATGATATATACAGAATTTAGCTAAAATTTTGTCTTTATATACATTAACGTTACTGTGGAATTTTTTACGATCGGACCATAATTGGTCATAGCTCCCATACTAGGTCCTCTTATGAAAATCTCTCAAACGCACATTACTCATTACCAAATAAAGCTTTTGATACAACATTTTGCACAAATATTAGTTTTGTGTACAAAAATTATATTTTAAGATTTTTTCACGATCGGTTCATAACATGG